AAAAAAAAATCTACCTATCCTTCTAAATTCATACCTTGAAATCCACCTTGAATGTTCTATATATTAGTATAGGAATAAAATGGGCTACAGGTGAAAACTTAAAAGTTTTCTAAAAGTTGCTAGGCGCCCGGTAGGCGCTCGACCAGTGACCATAAAAATCAATATTAAATAATTTATTTTCTATTTATTTTAACTACCTATAAAATAAAACTATATCAACTTATAATAAATCGACAAATTTAAGTTCAAATAAAAAAATTAGTATATTTTAAAGAAAAATAAAAACAAAATAAAGTAATTAGTATTTAAAAAAAAAAACTGAAAAATTGCCGTCGAGTCATCCTAAGAGCGTCTAGGTCCGCCTAGGCGCCGCCTAACTGCTCGGTCACCGAGCCCGCCAAGTCCACCTAGGAGCGCCTAGAGGCGCCTAGGCCTGCCTCCTGACCAAATTTTTTCTGCCGATTTGTGCAGATCGAGAGGCGTCTGACAGTCTAGCGTCTAGGCGGATTTTTAAAATAGTGCTTAAAATAGAGGACCCATGGAAAACTTATTAACCCCAAGGTAAAACATATTTAATGAATAAGAGGTCATTATCTCGGCATATATGTATCGGTTTCGGATCACACACTCGACAAGTGAAATTTACCTTTAAGTGATCATGAACAGAGGAATAAAGACAGGTGAAATTTACCTTTAAATAATAATCATGAACAGACAGACAGGAATAAACTGGATTTTTAATCCATTCACCTCAATCAACTCCACCACACTCCAATTTACACTCAACTAAAATAAAACCACACTATGATACTGAACAACATAACCTTTCTCATCACATCAAACCTCTTCTAAAATCAAATCACACTAAACAAACAGAATATTAAACCAAAACATAATAAGACATAACAACCTAAACTATATCAAACCGCCATTCCTTTTCCTTGTAGACCTGCTAAAACCTCTTGAAGGAGGCGAAGGTGTGAACTCAAACGGCAACTGTGGGATCTCCATTTCTCCCTTCAAAACCCTAACAACGTCCCCGATGTCCGGTCTCAACTCGGGCATCTTCTGCAAGCATGCGAGAGCCAAATTAATACACAAGCCTGCTTGCTCCTTGTTGTAGTCATCCTTCAACCGCTCATCAACAAGCTCGAGTATATTCCCCGAGTAGGCCAAGCTCCTGGCCCAGCTAATCAGGTTGGCCTTCTCCAGCCTCATAGGCGAGGCCAGTACGTGCAGTGGCCTTCTCCCCGAAACAACAACAAGAATCAACACACCTAAACTGTAAATATCAGCCTTTTCCATCAGGTAGCCATAACCATTGTACTCGGGCGCCACATAGCACAATGTGCCCCTCATACTGGTCGTGCTACTCAACTCCCGACTGAAAACATCCCCGCTCCACATGTCGCTACCGACCGAGAGGGAATTATTTTTCTCTTTCTTTTTCCGACCCAGGCGGAAACTGAACTCTGGGTTCCGACCGTCTTCATCATTCTTGTTTTGTTGTCTCATCCTTCTGAACGAGAAGCACTTGCCCAAACCGAAATGAGGCCGAACGTTGACCCTTCTCGTCTTTTTACTCTTCTTGCACATGTCGTCTAAATTTTCTTCCTTCCACCACTCGTGCATCTTCCGGTGATTATCAGAACAAGCTTTTTTACACCTATTTGGATTTTCCTTCTCCAGCCCAATATTAAGACACCCGAATCTGGATTCTTGCCTAAAATTCTCCTTCTTTTCCTTGTGTTTTTCCATTTTTGTACCCTTTTTTGAGCCGCCTGCTTTCTCTCGGTTGGTGTTTGCTTCCCCTTTTTCCTCCTCCCAATCGGGAATATCTGGATCGGGGCAAATTTGACTCCCAATCCACTCTTTAACATAGTCCTTGCTACTCAACTCCCCACTCCCATCCTGTCTCCACCACCAATCCTTCCCCCATTGTTTGCTACTAATGTTGTCGCCAGCATTTAAACTAAACTCCTTACTATGATCCGCACTATTCAACTCTTCATCATAATAAGGAACAAATTCCTTCCCTTTCAAATTGCTATCTCCACACTCGGAACTAAACTTGAAATTCTTCACCAGCCCCATCGCACTATGGTGAATTTTGGAGCTATTTTTCGAAGAATTAGAAGCTTGCAGAGCTAAGGCGAAATCTACCTCGTCATTTTCTTGATCCTCCAGAGGGGTCCCGATTGGTGGGGTCTCGTTTTCGTTTTCGACCACACCAAGACCTCCCATGGCATTCAAATTTCCAGAAAGCTCTTGGCTGAACAAATCCACCCCAACTTCGCCTTCAAGCTTCAATCTCGACAAGCCGAAATCCGAAAGCTTGGCCCTATAATCAGAGTCAAGCAACACATTGCTCGGCTTCACATCACCATGGATCACTGGAGGCTCACACTCAAGATGCAAGAAAGCCAATGCTTTGGCAACATCAAGAATTACACTAAACCTTACACCCCAATTCAAGTAGCCCAAACCAAAATCACCACAAACCCCAACGTCGCTATAACTATTCGAACCATCCATGAAGAGAGATTCTTGCAAGCTTCTGTTAGACATATACTCAAACACCAGGAGCCTGTTACCTTTCTCCACACAAAAACCCAATAAAGTAACAATTAAAGGGCATGATTTCAACCCGCCGAGAATTTTCAACTCGTTTTGAAACTCTTGCTCTCTCTGAAGCAAATTGGGGTCGAGGAGTTTAACGGCCACCAACTTACCGTCGCGCAAAATGCCTCGGAAGACGGTGCCCGACCCGCCTTTGCCGATGGAGTTGGAGACGCTGAAATTATCGGTGGCGCTCTTTAATTCTTTGTAGCTGAACTTCTGGAGCTTGTTTAATGGCGAGGCGGCGTCGAATGGACTGGTCCTCGATTTGTGGACTAATGAATACCAGAGAGAGTAGAGGAAATACACAAGTGCGAAGAGGATTATGAGAGAGGCTGAAATGGAGATCGCAAGGAATATTACGCTCATTCGTTGCCTTTGCTTTTGTGGGAATGGCTGTCTTGAAGCCATTCTCCTTTTTTCTTGTTCGTGTTTCTTCTTCTTTCCTCTGCTGTGTTTGAAAAATGGTGGAGCAGAGAACAAAATAAAGGTGGTAAAAAGAGATTGGACCCATAAACACTTTCATTTGTTTAAAAGTAGTACCAATATTGCAGTTTTAGTTCCATAGAAATTTATATTTACAATTTTGATCCCCATACAAGTTCACTTTTGCGGTTTTGGTCTCATACAAGATCAATGGTGCATAATTGATCACACCTTTAACTTATTAATAATCCATTTGCCATTTCAAGAGAACTAGAATGGGTACATGTGTACTACATAGGAACTTAGAAAAATAAATATTTATATAATCAAAAGTGAAAATAATTAAAAAAATATATATATTTTTATTGTTAAATTATGAAAAGTTAATATACAACAAATAATTCACCTTATATATAATTCTCGAATGTGCTGAGCCTACGTGGCTGCTTCTGGTGCTTCGGAATCATACTTAGATAAGAATCATGTTTGTAATTAGGTTTGGACAAATAATATTGATATATTAATAATTAATAATCTAGGTTTGAACATCCCATAAATATTATTTAGCTAACTTAGGTATATTAATATCACTTGTACTAATATAACCCTTTAATTCTTTGTAATTTTACATAGTGCGCACTAAATGACTAATATATCCATGACTTTTTATTTGTTTCCTTCAATTAGCTATTGAATTGTAAATGTATTTTAAAAGTTGATAACTTTTGTATTTCTTATCAGTTTTGCATATATAATATATCAAATTAATCATCTTTTGATGATCTTCGATCAGACATCCATATTGTATATATGAAATAATTAAATTATATTTATCTTTATAATAATAAAAATAATAATATTTATTAAAAAAAATAAAATTATTTCTCAATTGATATATTTATGTTTAATGTAGTTACTAGTACAACGCTCGTGTATTACACAGGTGCTTGCTAATTTTTTCCTTAAAATCTAAAATTAATGAGAAAAAGTAGTTAAAAATTTAAATACTTTTATAAAAATATATATATTATTATATATTTAGTATGACACTTTTTATTTGTGCGACTTACATGTGTTATATTATAATAATTTTTTAAATCACAACATATAACTACATTAAACATAAATATATAAATTGAGAAATAATTTTATTTTTCTAATAAATTTTAACAAATATTATTATTTATTATTATTATAAAGATAAATATAATTTATTTATTTCTTATATACAATATGGATGTCAAATCGAAGATCATCAAAAGATGATTAATTTGATATATTATATATGCAAATCCGATAAGAAATACAAAAATTATCAATTTTTAAAATATGTTTACAATTCAATAGCTAATTGAAGGAAACAAATCAAAAGTCAGGGATATATTAGTCACTTAGTGCCCCACTATGTAAGATTAGAAAGAATTAAAGGGTTATATTAGTACAAGTCATATTAAAATCCTAAGTTAGCTAAATAATATTTATGGAATGCTTGAACCTAGATTATTAATTATTGATATATCAATATTATTTGTCCAAACCTAATTACGAAGCATGATTCTTCGCCAAATAGGATTCCGAAGTACCTTTAGCTCAGCGCATTCAGGAATTATATATAGGAGAGGGGATATGTTGTAAGTTAAAAAATTATTATAATATAACACATGTAAGTCACACAAATAAAAAGTGTTATACTAAATATAATATATATATGTATAAGGTATTTAAATTTTCAACTATTTTTTCTCATTAATTTTAAATTTTAAGGAAAAAGTTAGCAAGCACCCGTATAATACACGAGCGTTGTACTAGTAAATAATTAAAAGAGTAACAATTATTTAAATGATGTGTGTTTTAAACGCAATTTGTCAATAACAATGATTATTTTCGTCATATTTATAAAATTATATATATCTAAAATAAACGTTATGTACCACTCTACATCTAAAGTTGAATGTTTTAAAGTACTTTAAAAACATATTTATAATGTAGTTATGGATTATAATATTGATTCTTCTTCCTTTTATCTATTAATTTTTTCAAGTATCATGTATTACTAGTACAATACCCGTGTATTACACGAGTGCTTGCAAATTTTTTTCTTAAAATTTAAAATTAATGATAAAAAATAGTTTGAAAATTTAAATACCTTTTATAAGAATATATATATTATTATATATTTATTATGATACTTTTTATTTGTGCGACTTACTTGTGTTATATTATACTAATTTTTTAACTTACAATATATAACTACATTAAATATAAATATATCAATTGAGAAATAATTTTATTTTTCTAATGAATTTTAATAAATATTATTATTTTTGTATTATTATAAAGATAAATATAATTTATTTATTTTATATATACAATATGGATGTCAAATCGAAGATCATCAAAAGATGATTAATTTGATATATTATATATGTAAAACCGATAAGAAATACAAAAGTTATCTACTTTTAAAATACATTTATATTTCAATAGCTTATTGAAGGAAGCAAATCAAAATTTAGGGATATATTAGTCACTTAATGCCTCATTATGTAAAATTACAAAGAATTAAAGGGTTATATTAGTAAAAGTGATATTAAAATACCTAAGTTAGCTAAATAATATTTATGGAATACCCGAACCTAGATTATTAATTATTAATATAGTAATATTATCTGTCCAAACCTAATTACGAAGCATGATTTTTCGCCAAACCTAATTACGAAGAATGATTTTTCGCCACCTTATCGTGTTTCTGGTTGAAGGCTCCCAGAGGCTGAGCTTCCTTTCTCGGCCTCGGCGGCGGTTGTGTGTCACGTCGTTGTCGTTCTTTGCGTGTGCCTTTTCTCTGCGGTGTTGATGTTCTATGAAGGCTAGATCAGAACTGAGAATTTATTCCTCGTTAGATCTGTCTAGGCGACTCGAGTTTCGTCCCAGGTTTTGAGTCTGGGGTTTCGATCTGCTCCTCTCTTGGGCTTCTGTGCGGTAGACTTTGGCTTGTGCGCTGGTTCAAGCGACTGTGTGGTCTGCGTGATAGGTTTAAGGGAGGTCTTATTATAAGTGTATTTTTTTAGGTGTGTGTTGTTTTTCTTATTTTTCTATTTTTGTTGTTTTGTTAGTCCAGCTTCATCTGGTTTTCAGTCTTCTATATGTAGTTATTGTGTCTCCTTTATGGAGTTTTTGTTTAGCGGGTGCTTGCACCTCCTTGGTCATATGTGTAATTCCATGAGGGTTTGGTCCATATTTGTTCTGGTTCCAGTAGTGTCAGGTGACACTTCGGGTGTACTCTTTTGAGTTTTCAATTATTAATATAATTGACGTTTGAAAAAAAAAAATTATATGAGAGAAAAATCGCAACGTTATTTTCTATTGGACCAAAATTGCAATATTGGGACTATTTTTGAATGAATGGGACCAATATTGTAATTTTCTCCCATAAGTTTGTGTGTGCGTGTGTGTGTGTATATA